TGCAAGATTTGAAAACCTGTTGTAGACACAATCCTGCACAAGTTATGGTCTATAAAGCAAGGATGGCTGGACTTCATCTCACGACGTGCTTTGGCCATGTTGTCAGGAGAGGATAGTCCTTGGGAAAGCACACAGTGCTTGGTAAAGTAGAGGCGCAGTGAAAGAGAAGCGGAGCCTCGACAAGATGGATCGACACAGTGGTGACAACCATGGGCTCAAACAGAAGACAGTTGGGAAGATGGTACAGACCGGGCCGTGGGTTGTTCTGTTGTCCACGGGTCACCGTGACTCAGAAGCAGCTCAATGGCACCTAGTGGCAACACAGCCTGAGCAGATGCGCAAGCGGAATGGGAGTGGACAACTGTGAGAGGGGTGATCTGTCCTTTGTATCTACCTTTGGTGCAAATGTATTCACGAATGTGGTGGCAAAATTGTGAACGCTTTTTTTGATGTCAATAAACTTCTTGAGGGAATGAGTCGCTGGGCCTGGTGGATCAGGACCATAAGTCTTGGGGAAACCAAGATGAACTGGCATAGCGTAGCTCATGAAAACAGTGTTCTCTACCCTGCTTTGTAGTTACTGGGGGCTTCAAAGCTTGCCAGCAGTCATCCAAGGTGAAGCTCTTGCTGTCTTCCCGTCAGCAGGAGAGATGAGTGACGAAAAGGGAAAGACGCATGGCAACAGTTGCTCCAGCGGACTAATGGACCACGCACACTCCCGTCTCCATGAGCCCAAGACTGGAAAACGACCTGGTGCCTAGCCACCACTGCCAACTGTCCGGAAAGGAACGCCATTGGAAGGTCCTGGAGAGAATGGGAGGCAAATGTAAAACCAAACTCAAAATCATAGACCAGACCAGGCTCACTGGCCAGAGAGAGCTTGGTGCAACCCCCCAGACTAGGGTCCTCCATAACCTGATCAGGCCTGAAACTAAATTACAACCAGTGGCTACAACTTTAGCCTAACTGAGGACACAGGGAACAATAATATGTGCGAGCGACACCCACACCTTCGAAGAAACAATGTGCAGCTTGAGATCCAACGGGCTCCGTTTACCCCAGAGCAGAGCCCCGAAGGGTTCTGGAAGAAAGGCCACGGGAACCCGGAGGAGGAAGTGGGGTAAGTGGTGGTGCTTTGAGGGGGTGCAATGAATGCGATGAGACAACATGTGCACGAATTGTTGACTGTTAAGCTGATCATCCGCTATGTACACCAGCACTCAACTCTCAATAAAAAGTGTTTGCTTGTTTGTTTGTTTGTTTGTTTTAGTTAAAAAGGAGAGAGAGAAACCCTGTGGAATAGTTCTCCCCTGTCCTATAAAGTCACTTCGAGTTAGAATCGGATCGACAGCCGTAGCAATCTCAGAACCCACAAGGACTGGGAGAAGCCGGAGTGGGGCAAACAGATCCATGCCAGGGTAACCGGGCTAGGTTGGTGGTTTGAACCTACCCAGTGGCTCTGTGGAAGCAAGACCTGGTGATCTGTTTGCATCAAGATCTCCTTCAAGAAAACCTTTTGGAGAGGCCTGCTCTGTCACACCGAGTCTTTATGCCTCTGGGGGGACTTAACGAAACCCAGCAGCAGCCACAGAGAAGAGGGATTAGTCAGAGGTAAACGAACACCTTAAATTGAGGAGGCTAGGTTGTGACGCTGGGCAGTTTACCATGACCATGAGGTAAACTTCTGGGTCAAGAGATAGAGTCCAAATGTGAGGTCGCCCTTGGTACATTATTGCTTACAGATGTATCACAATGTGTTTACGCATTGGTTTATTGGTGGACATTTGGGTCGTTCCCAGTTTGGGGTTTTAATCAATAAAGTTGCTACAAACATGCCAATGCACATCTTCGTGTAGCCGTATTATGAACTCACTTCCACTGGGTAAATGAATACCTCAGGCTAGGTCTTGGGTGGTGCACATGCTAGGCTGCTAACTGAGAGGTTGGCTGTTCAAATCCACTCAGAGGTGTCTCAGAAGAAAGGCCTGGTGATCTATTTCCAAAAAACCTGTCATTGAAGCCCGTCTGCAGCACAGTTCCCTTCTAGCACACAGTGGGCCCACTGGGCTGCAACTGGCTGTAGGAACTCCAGGTCATAAGCTTACGAGTACATTTTAATGTTAGAACCATTTTCTTACTTTTAACAAGTCATAACTCGCTCTGAAGTCTCCTTCAGAATCAAAATCTGCTAAATGTTAATACTAAATATCAAGGCACTCACCCAATCAGAAATGACAAATGAGAAAATGAACAAAATAAATTATTTTCTACATGGACCTTCTTAAACGTTAAGTCCTAACACTATCCAGACTGCTGTGTTAGGAAGAAAGGGAAAATAAGAGAGAATCAAGGGAAGGAAAAGCTACTGCTTCACATGTACTGGTAAAGCAAAGACCGTCATGAGCATAAACAAATCATCATGAGGAGAATAATCGAACCACCGGTGGGCATCTCCGATCTCTGTAGCATCCTGTGGTCACAGTGGAGCATTTATGGCAGCTAATGGCTTGCCTAACATCTTAGCCACCAAAATAATGATGACCAAATTGAGGAGGTTTACCTGGAGACTGTGTGACAGTGTTTGGACC